AAGAAAAACAAATACCCAATAAGAAATTTATTACGGAAAAAGGCTTTTTTCTAATAATATGATTTATAATTTTCTAGACTATAATCTCAGACATTATAAGCTTATGTTCTCTATAAGTCTTAATATTATTTACAATTGTTTGACAGTTAACCATACTAAACGAGAAATATATCTGCATTGAAAAAAATCATTAATGCCTTTTTGTCTCTCTTTTAACATGGTAAACTTTTAAATGATGGTAAAAACTTTTCTCTTGGTCATTTTTCCCCCTTTCAATAAATTTTTGTTAGTATATTCATTCATCTATTAGTTTGTTTTCTATTTTCTTCCATAATGAAATTTGTTCGTCTGTTACTGGCTTCGCATTTTTTTTTTTTTTTTTTTTGCCAGACAAAATAATTCCAAAATGTTCTACTGGGTTGTTAAAAATTGCTTGAGTTTTCGTGCTGTTACTTTCCATTAAAATAAAAAAAACAGCAATTTGTCTCAGATTTCGTTGAAAAAGTACCACAGTGACTAAAAAAGTCATTTCTTGTGAAGTTAAAAGAATAAAAATTTATTATAAACAAGCTACATCTTGGTTTTTAATTAAGTACTAAACTCAATTCAACGATTCTTCCAAGTAGCTTGTGCATAGCAAACTTTTTTATTTTAAAGAAAGTCATTTAATTTCGTTGTCATTCACACACATATCAAATCGTTTCGCTTTCTCTTATTTTACTTTAAAGTTATAAATCGCTGTAATTTAAAAATTCCCTTAGATTTCATTAGAGTCTAGGAATTTTCGCAGACACGCACTCATTTAGGTAATTAGATTGACAGAATTTCGTATGTTTTGGAATTCTTTGTTTGATTCTTCAATCGAAACAATCTAATCGTATTTCAAGAACATGGTTTGATTAAATTTTACATTTTTCCCCTTAAAAGTTCCTTGTGAAATACACAAAAGTCTAAATAACAGTTTTCCAATTTTTGATTTGTTTCAATTATAGAAGTTACATTATTGTAATGCAATATGATAATGATTTGATATAGATCCATAAAATTTTTATACAAAGCATTGTTAAATCCTAATTTTAATATATTTTAAAAGCATGAGTCGGATTGTATTTTTATATCTGGGTACTTCAAATGTTTATCTTTTACAAGCTTTATTACGAAAAATTCTGACGTTACTTGCATTTATGTATACATTCAAGAAAAATGAAACAGTTAAAATTTAATTTTCAATTCAATCCAGTGATTCAAACTTTGGATAGAAGTTTAATTTTGCTTCATGAAATAAAAATTTCAACTTAACAATTTCACATCCATTAATTTAGCAACAATCAAATAAAATAACCTTGAAAAATTTTATGATTTCATTTCAGAAATCGAAATGAGTTAAGCAAAATCTCATTTTTAATTTTAGTTTTTATATTTCATATATAAAATAAGCGATTTTTAATGGATGTATATTTTTGAAAGTGATAAATATTTTGAAGTAGCAACTATAATATATAAGTTTAGTGAGGCAAAATTGTATGAAAACAATACTTAAATAAGTGTTTGAAACACAATGTAAATATAAACAAGACAAAAAATAAGTTTATTATGAAAATTACGAACCATTTTTCGTCTTTTTCTCTCGTTGTTCCATCAAAAACAATATTTTTAACAAATAATCTAAATTTTGACTTTTGATATTCTCCCTACCAAAGAAAGTTAGCTACAAGTTTAGCTCCTTAAATTGTGTTCAACTGTATGCAATACTTTTGCACTCAGACTGGCGATTTTTGAAGTTACGGATAACACGAACAACAAAAATGGTTTTTTTGTGAAAGAATGAATTAAATTTTTTTTTTGGATACAGATTCACACAGAACTGTCAACTGATTATTTCGAACATTCTCAAACGTTTCAGAAAGTATTAACATAAAATTTTTTCTAAGATTTATAAAAAATTCTTCATATCATGTAGAACGTACTTACGAAAAGCAAACACATTACAGATTTTTTGTGTTCAACAATTGAAAAAAAAATGGTGTAAAAATTAAAATAAAATTTGTCCATTTTCTTATTCTATTAAATATGATGTTTAATACTAAACAATAAAATGTTAAATACAATAAAAAAGTGCCCTATTTTTAAACATTTTGGGCAAAAAAATTAACCGGTTAAGGGGTTGAATATATAATTGTATCTTTTTTCTTATCAATATTTAGCCCTCTGGAATAAATCATAGCTCTTTTATTTCTTCGAAGTGCAACCTTAATACACAATCAATCCACCGGTATAAATTAATAAAATAAACGAAATAATATTAATAAAATAATCGAAATTTATACTGAGAAATATTTTAATCATATTCATTTATAAATAAAGATCATATTTCCTCTACAATGGGTGGTTATACTATCGTTTGTTTTGTTCAATTCCTTAAGTACTATGTTAATGGAGCAACAATTAAAAATAATTTGATGCAACAATAAGTAACAAAAGGAAAGATACTTATTGATTACTGGACGCCAAGCATTCTCACGCGATTTTCCCATAAGAGAGAGGAATGTTTCATGGAAAACCCTTTTATTCTATTAGGCTGTAACAGGGTGTTATGCTAAAAGGGTGTTAGGAAACACTTTCTTAGTAGCGATATTTTTTAAAAGGTGGAACCATTATGAAAACTGATGCATTACATTACAAAAATTCAGAACCAATGCAACAATGGATTCATTAAGAAAACTTTGGAATGCTGTTGACGTTCTTTTTCTTTAATTTCAGGTCCTGATTTCTGGGGTTTATTAAATCCGGAATGGAGTTTCTGCACAAAAGGCCGCAGACAATCACCGATTGATCTTAATCCATCTGTTCTTTTGTATGACCCCCATCTCAAGAACATCCACATCGACAAGTTCAGGGTGAGTTTTAATTTACACTTCAGGTGCTTTCTTTATTTGAAAAAAAAATCCCTCCAAACTGAAGAGGCCAATATTTCTTGGAATAACTTTGGTGCCTTTTCAATTTCAGTAAATTTCTGAAAAGAACAATTTTTCTTCAAGAGTACTCCTTACGCTGCAATAACTTTGTACTCAATAGCGAAAAATTGCTCTCTGAATTTAGCTTTTTGGGAAGAAAAATAGATTTTGGAATCGACTGAAAGAGAATTCATAACTTGTATGTGTTTTTATCGTAAGATTCAATCTGTTGTTAGATGATGTATTGCTTTGAAATATAGGACAAGTAATTTGGAGTTTTAAGAAAAGAAAAAAGAAAGCTGTAAGCCTGGCGTATGCTTGAAACAACTTTTCAATTATTAAAACGATTATTTTTAGTTATTGCTGAAAATTTCTAATAAAGCAACCAATTAGTTTTCGTTATAATCAGAAATACTAAATGTGTCCAAATTTTAAAATATTTAGGAGTGATAAGAACTATACACACACACTATTAAAAAAACGCATAAGATTCAATATAATACATGTAATTGAAGTGTTCATATTCAGTGAAAAAAATTTGAAGTCTATATGTTATTAAAGATAAAAAAAAAACGATATATATATATATATATATATATATATATATATATATATATATATATATATATATATATATATATATATATATATACCGTATTTATTCCGATCTAAGCCGCACCCAAAATGCTCAACAAGTTTTTGTGAAAAATGAGGAATAGTGTAAAATGTTTTATCGATATCCAATTTTATGGAATTTTAAAAAAATTAAAAAGAGAACTTATAAAAAGTGAATGATTAGTTATTTTACTATTAATTTAAACCTTCAAATGCATACGTAAAACTGTAATTTCTTTATAATTGTCACATTCAATGAATTTTTTCCTTTGATTCTAAGCCGAAGCCGATTTTCAGTAGCATTGATGTTGGGAGGGGGGGATGTGGCTTTGATTCGAAAAAATACGGTGTATGTATGTATATACACCATTATAAACCATTTCTTCCAAAATAGCCTGCTAGCTAAACATGTTCTTTATTAAAATAGAACAGAAAATAGAATAATTAATAATCAGAAGTTAAATAGTATGGAACCAAATTTCTATGGTAGGAGAAACTTTCCAAAAAATATTATTATACTTATTGGTTGGCTTCAAAGTACAAATAAAGGATACAATATACTGTAATAGCTTGAAAATTCAAAAGCAAAAAAATTGCGTATCTTTCATCATAGTTATTACAGTAATTAATTTAGAAAAAATACGTTAAATAAGTACTAATTGTTAAATGCTATGTTAGCGAATTTCTATGGCACAATGTTTATTAGGGTCGCACTATAAAACAACACGAAATTTATTGGTAATGGGACTCGTAATTTTGAATCACGAACGACCACGGGGACGACGATGCCGAAGCTGGCACCCCGTATCCGAATTTTCACACATCGACAGGAGGATTTTGAGCCTCGACAAATTTAATGTGCATCAGTGCCTCTACACGGGGGTTCTTCAGTGGCAATGGCACTCGAACTCATTTCACATTGGTCACAAGTCCGTAACTATGACCACTAAACTAGCTAGAAAGAAAGCTTTTAAAAGAACATTATTATACTTATTGGGAGACTCTTAAGAACAATTATAGGACGTTTTTAATTTTAAATATATATATATATATCTTTCATTACAGTAATTACTTAGATTAATTTACAAAATATACATTAAATAAATGTAATTAAACAAAGGTAATTTAATAAACAAGTAATATAAAAGAAAATGTTTTAAGCCAATTCCCACTTAGGTTAACAAAGAGAACTTTTATTTTAGGTACTTTTTATTAAATAATTGCAATTAATATAAATATGTATATACATATGACAGAATTACAGTATTAAGTGGCATGACAGAATGTGATTTTCCTTACAATTGTCAACTTTCCTTTGTATATATGGTGTTGGACTATTATTTATATTTGTTACTATTTATTAGTTAGTTAAATTTAATTATTCCAATAAAATAGTATAGTAAAAAGAAATCACATTCTCAAAAACTAGGCCATCCCAGGTGGGATTTGAGCCCACGATCATTGGATTAGAAGTTCAACGCACTATCTGTTGCGCTACAGGGACACAATAAGTGATTTTCTTTATATATGTGTGGTGGACTATTATTTTTATTTGTTACTATTTGTTCATTAATTAAATAGAATTAATGAATTTATGTTTGAAAAAACTGTACTAACATCTAGTGTCCTCTACTACAAGTTTAAAAAATGTATTTGAACTTGAGTAGTGGAATAAAAAGTATTTTATTAACGATTGAAAGTTGAACGATATATATATATATATACACTGGAGTGCAAAAATTAAGGACGAAGTCGAAAAATTAGCATATCAGCTGAACGAAGAGGCAGAGCGGACAGAAAGACCAATCAGGAGATTAAGTAAGGTAATGTACGGTAGCACATGCGCAGATATGCAGGTAGACATAATGGGGGAGTGTCTGAGTAGTATAAAGCATGTTGTCGGTGTAAGATCAGTATTTCTGGCAAAGAAATTGCACGCCGTATAGCAGTTAAAGTCACACTGAGTTGCTGCCTCAGCGAGAAATGGCGAATAATCAATCTGTTAGACGACATCTGGATGTTTTTACCCGAGGTCGAATCATTGGGAAGTTGGAGGAAGGCCGCAGTGTGACAAGTGTGGCTGCAGAGTTCGGAATTGCTCACAGCATCGTTTCACGGCTTTGGAGACAATTTCAAACTACAGGAACAGCTATCCGGGGGTTCAGTAGTGGTCGTCCACGAGGAACCACACCCGCAGATGACCGGTACATTGTCTTACAGGCCAGAAGAAACAGGCGGCAGACAGCGGGAGAAATCGCTAGACACACGACACAGACGACTGGACGACCGATATCGCGTTTTACCGTGGCCAGAAGACTGCACGGTGGTGGTCTGTTTGCACGACGCCCTGTACGGTGTGTACCTTTAACGCCTGCCCATCGGAAAAGGCGTTCTCTGTGGTGCCGGGAACACCGGAATTGGAGAGACAATGAATGGGGACGAGTACTCTTTACAGATGAGAGCAGATTCAGTTTGAGTATCGATTCTCATCGCATATTCATCTGGAGAGAGCGGGGAAGCCGCAATCATCCCTCGAACATCATTGAAAGGGACAGGTATGGAGGTCGCGGTGTTCTCGTTTGAGGAGGCATCAGGCTTGGTAGTTGTACAGACCTTCACATCCTCGACGCAGGTTCAGTCAACGGGACCCGTTATTGTAACGAGATTCTTCTTCCATATGTGCGTCTTTTTAGAGGCGCTATGGGTCTGCAGTTCCTTTTCATGGACGACAATGCACCATGTCATCGCACAGTAGCTGCCGAACAGCTCTTAGAGAGTGAGGATATTGAACGTATGGATTGGCCGGCACGATCTCCGGATCTCAATCCCATCGAGCATGTATGGGATTTTCTAGGCAGAAGCCTCATTCTCAGCATGGGCAGACGCTGTGAAACCTGCCTAGCAGTCAGTTGAGATCATATCCCCTACTAAAGACCGGATGTTTCTTGCTGGACACCCATCACAGGGATGTTTCGGCCTTCAGTCGCATTGCGCTCCATGCTACTTTTTCAATCAAGCTTCTTTTTATCCCTCTGATTTCTCTTTTAGTAAGTGTTGCTTACATTACACATGTCCTTACGTATTGGGGATCTTACGGTATTAAATGTGTTGATTTGGAAAGCTTTTGTACAAAGTTATATTGAAAAAACCGTCTCGTCCTTAATTTTTGCACACCAGTGTATATATATATAGTATAATAAAATAGAAGTGAAGAAGTTCTAGAACCTACAGTGCTAAAGAAGGAAGAACTTGGAATTCACAAGACACAACAAATGTAAATACAAAAAAGACTTTGGCCTAAACTGGAGACCTATTATGATTCCTAAAGCTGTCGCTGAATTAGGCCAGCGATTTAGGGTTAGCAATGCTTTATGGATTCAACCTTCCCCGTACGGCAGAAATTTTCGACATAATAGGAAAAAAATGTTGAAAAGTTAAGCCTACTTCTAACACGTGGATGAAAAACCTGACAATATAGTAAATGAAATTAAGAAAAGAGAACAATAATGAATCTCTCAAGGAGAGGAATAATAATAAAAAATTTTATAGAAAAAAATTAGGATAAAAACTGACATGTAAAATTAAAACCCTGGAATTCAACCTTCTAAGTTATGATACCACACGAAATGACGTAAAGGATTGAACATCAACACAAGAAGGAAAAAATTGTGGCTCCACCTGGATAGTTATTTTGCAATTAAACTAAACACTAAGTTATTTTAAAATAAACTAAACATAAGAAATTTTAAGAAAAATAACGAACAAAGTTAAGAATAGATAATATCAAATAGAAATAAATTTAAAAGTAAATTTACTTGGATAATTATATACTAGATAGTTATACTGCAATTACAACAAGCGCTTAAAATATTTTAAATTTTTTTTAAAAAAATAAACTAAATAGGAGAAATTTTAAATAAAATATTGAAAAAAGATAAAAATAGATTTAATTATATATATATATATATATATATATATATATATATATATATATATGTGTGTGTGTGTAGGGAGAATGTGAAATAATAGTAAAAACTGAATATATATAAACCCCCATTCTTATCAACTATTCTTTTTATTCAATAGTATAGTATAATTCGAAAACTGTTTTTTATTTATATGTTTGAAAGTTCTTCCACACAAAGTGATAAAATGAGAAACTTTCATTCTTGACACCTTGACGGATCAATTGCAATACATCTAAAATAATATGTTTGCATTTAAATAATAAACGAAAATTCTCAGCTATGTTATACATTTTCTTTTTCCACGTCGCGTGTATCATTTTCCTGTAAACAATTTATATATTATAATACATTTTTTACTATCTTCTATGCTAAAAAATTACCTAGTACTCTACTTCCTTTCTTCTTTATCCATGTGGTTAAGTATCCACAAAAATTTAGAAGTTATACAAGTAACTATTCAGGTGTTTGTGACACATATACTGCGATGTTAATTTCAATACTATAACCTTTTTTAGAAAATGAAAAAGTTACAAGGCTCAACTAGGCATTTTAACTTAAAGAAATAAGCTACGTTCTTGTTTCCCTCATTAATTCTACTTTTACTTTTATTTGGCGTATTTTTTTATGCTGAAGCAAAAGGTTTTGAAACTTTTCTTGGAAAAGTGATGTTGTCATTAGTGTAATGTCGTAAAATAAATGGAAAACACTGAAAGTTTACATAACATTCGTAGGTGTATGTCAGGTTGTAAAAAAAACACCAGAATAACAAATTTTTCTCCTGTTTAAAAAAACTCTTTATTTGTTAACAGTCTCGTAATCAGTCTGAGTTTTATGTTTCTTCTCATTAATCAATATGCCTTACAAACGATAGTTTTAAAAATTTCAAGTTTTTTTCTTAACCATAAAATATTAAGATTCTTCGACTCTGTAATTTAGTTTAAGGAGCGCAAAAACATTAAACTGAAGGGAAAAAAGGAAGATTTTTTTTTTAAATTTTAAATCTAATCAAAGTGATAAATGCAACAGGCACGTATTTTTTTTCTCAAAATGCAGATCTAATTCTTCATAAAATTGACATTAAGATATCCGACTACGTTCGGAACCGTGATTTAGAAAAGCGCATAAATGGATATTTTTCATGATATTTAGTGTCACTTAGATTAGAATTTATGCATAAAATTTTTTAAGGACATTTTGACAAAAAAATGTATTTAAATATAATATTTTGGCGAAAAATTAACTTAGAATAATCTTTTTTCCAAATGTTCGCCTTTTGTGAAATATGGTTCTATTAGAATAGTATTTTGCCTGTATATTGTTCAGACCTCTGTTCAGAGGTCCAAATAGAATTTTTGAAATGTATAACTGAGAAGTGGGTTTATTCAAATTTTACGACAACAGAGGGGAGCAATTTTAAGAGAAAAACGCGAATAATTATTTCAATGGATGGTAACTCTGAAAATAATGTGAATTTTTCAAAATTTCTAGTTGAGCCTCTGTAGAAAGGTCTGAGCTATATACAGGCAAAATATTATTATAATATAACCATTTTTCACAAAAGGAGAACATTTGGAAAAAAGATTATTCTAAGTTAATTTTTTGCCAAAATATTATATTTAAATAATTTTTTTTTGTCTAAATGTCCTTAAAACAATTTTATGCATGTATTCTAATCTGAGTGACACTAAATATCATGAAAATTATTCATTTATGCGCTTTTTTAAAATCACGATTCCGAACGTAGTCGGATGGATACCTTAAACAAAACACAAATATTTTTTTTCAACAAAAGGAATATTGCAATGTGAATTAAATATCCAAATATACTCTGAGTATAAAAATGAAAGCTTTAAAAATAAAAAAAAATGTGAATAGAAAAAAATTAGTCTTCTATAGTAAGACCCCGTTTAACGCTCTTTTATTTGAATTGTGGGATTCCCCGAAACAGCCCGCAGCGTTAGGCCTCCCGATATCCAAAGCAGTTTATCTGTGTTTCTTCTATCCGGTGGTATTATACGAAAGTATTTTTATCGTTTAAAACATTTGACGTTATATTGTAAGTATAAGTTTATTTAATATAACGATTGCTATAGTGACAAATGTTAAGATTTTTAGTTTTTATCATGGTGGATAATAAAAAACACGAAAATAAAGTATGAAAAAGCATTTCACTAGAAACTAAAATACATGTGATTAGAAGATTAGATACTGGTGAATGTCAATCTCAAATTGGTGCTGCATTGAATTTGACAACATCAACAATAAGGACCATTCTTAAGAATAAAAAGAAATACTGCCATCGGTAACTGCAACTACGACAAGCTCTGCAACTAGAACTATCCATTCTAGAAATAATACAATAGAGGAAATGGAAAAACGACTTTCTGTATGGATTGATGACGAAATTGAGCGTAAAATGCCATTAAGCCTATCTACCGTCTTGATAAAATGGCAGAAAATTGGAAATACAGAAGAGACTGAATGATCTGAAATGTAAACATACTGACTTAGAAATTTATTTATTTTTTATGCATAT